TATGCATCAGAACCAACTTGGTGGCACACCATCACCACCATCACCACCATCATACTTACTGTTATCCAGTTGATTCTATATAGTGTCCAGCGACATTACTTGTTGTTGTTAGGTGCCATCGAGTCGGTACCGACCTATAGTGACCCTATGAACAACAGAACAAAACACTGCCCAGTTCTGGGCCAACCTCACTACTGTTGCCATGCTTGAGCCCATGGATGCTGCCACTTTCCCAATCCATCTCGCTGGGTGTCTTCCTCTTTTCCGCTGACCCTTCACCTTACCAAACATGGTATCCTTCTCCAGCGACTGGTCCCTCCTGACAATATGTCCAAAGTATGAGAGACGAAGTTTGGCCAGGATGGCCTCCAAGGAGCGCTCTGGCTGCACTTCTTCCAAAACAGATCTGTTGGTTCTTTTGGCAGCCCGTGGCACTTTCAGTTTTCTATACAGGTCAGAGAAAAACTGTTCCACAGGGTTTCCAAGACCGTTAAATTTTTGTGGAAGCAAAGTGTGTCATCTTTCTCACACAGAGCTACTCACTGATGGGTTGGAAGTACTAACCATGGTTAGCAGCCCAATTCTTAATCCACTCTGCCACCAGGGCCCCTGATAAACAAGGAGCACAAATTTAAAGAGCACCTCGTCCAACCATGTTTCTCAGGAGGGTTCACAGGCCTGGAAAGGGAGCCCCTCATGGAGACTGGTTGCAGGCAGTTCTCTTTCCATCACCCAGATTCCAGCTACCCCACCCCAAACATATCTAATAGTGATCACAGCAGCAGTTCCTAATCACTAAAGTCACTGTTCTGTTCCAAGGCCAACATTTTAGCTAATCCTTAAAACAACCTACAAGTAAGGTTAATGTGGAGTCCAGCTGGTGCAGTGGCTTACTAAGTAAACAGTTGGTGGTTCAAACCCACCAGCCATTCCTTAGAGAGAGATGAGTCAGTCTGCTCCCATAAAGATTTACAGCCTTGGAAACCATTCTTTTTTTTCATTGCACAGGTTTATTGAGGTTTGTGAAGGTCTCTAGGAGACTTAGTTGACCGCCAGGATCTTCTATACACAGGGCATGAGACCAGTGACGCGGGCGTACATACTGGGGCTGGTGGTGGAGCAGGTGTCGCTGCCCCAGGACACGATGTCCACCAGGGTCCAGGCACCGTTCTTCTGACACACCAGTGGGCCGCCAGAGTCACCCATGTAGGAGGAGACGCCTGTGCAGACCATCAGGTCCGTGATCTTGCTGCCCCGGTACTTCCGGCAGTCGGTGTTGGACAGGAGGGGCAGGGTCGCCCACTGCAGGTGCTTGGGGGTGTTGGCGCTGTGTGCTTGGTCGGGCCCCAGCCTGTGGTGGCGCAGAGGGAGCCAGCGGGAAGTCATAGTCCTGGTTGGGCAGGCAGATGGCGGACACGGTCTGGGAGAAGCGGGCCGGTGTGGCCAGCTTCAGCAGGGTGATGTGTGGTTGATGCTGAACATGTTGAACTTGGGGTTCTTGAAGACCTGGATAATCTTAAGCACGTGGATAGTCTCTGCATTTGAGCCCTTGTCAAACTCACCAGCCACGACCAGGTGGGAGGTTCTTTCACTGCAGCGGGCAGCGGTGACCACCCAGTTCTCACTGCTGAGGGAACCCATGCAGAAGTGAAAGCCTGTGCTGTCCAGTAGGGACACCTGCCATGGCCAGGAACCCGGGACAGCACCCTCCCTACTGACAGTGCAGGAAAGGCTGCTGAGCATGGGATGGATGGTGGGGACCCCGCAGCCTCCTTGGAGGAGCCTGCCCTGCCTCGTCCACTCCAGGTCAGTTTTACTCTGTCCTGCAGGGCCAATACGAATCAGAATCGACTTGATGACAGTGGGCTCTGGGTTAATATCATGATCCTCATTTAAAATGGGGAAGTGGAGGCTCAGAGAGGTTAAGTAACTTGCCCAAAGTTACACAGCCAAGAAGTAGCAGAGTTGGAATTTGATTCCAGGTGTCTGAGGTGTGGACTATCTGAACTGTACCTTCTTCTCTGTATTCCCATCCAGGTTACTCTGTCCCTCTGGCTGCTTTCTTCCAAGCAGACAAGGCTCCAGGTGACTGAGGACCCACTGGACACTTGTCTGGGCAGGCCCAATTCGCCCAATGCCCCAAACATACTCTCTTCCTGCCTTCACTTTTATCCAGCTCTGGCTCTTGAATGTCTAAGCAAGAAGGGTTCATTGTGTAATCAAACAGCCAGCCACACACACAGACCACACAGCACGCCAGTCCCTAACCATGTTGAGATTTCTGTTGTGGCAATGAACTGTGTCCTCTGGAGTTGTGCAGTGTGGTCTCAGCCCTGCCTGAGAGATGCTTGAACAGAGGGGAAAACTGAGGTTTGGAGCGGGTTCTCCAGCAACAGAGGAAGAGACTAACTCTCCAGCTGTCTCGTCCCTGTCCCCCAGGCCTGGTATCATGAGCGAGATGTCAGGGCCTCAGGGGCATAGGGCCCAGGCAGACTGCTTGGCACAGGCTGTTGGGTCCCTTCACAAGACACCAGGATACATGCAGGTCCAGGTCTCACTAAGTACTAGCTCACAACTCATCCACCATTCACTAGCTGTGTGACTTTGGGCAAGCTACCTGACCTTTCAAAGCCCACTTGCAAAGGAATTTTTTTGTTAGGTTTAAAATTCTACAGGGACACAAGCAAAACACACACACAAACAAAAAATCATTCCATAGGGAGGGGAGCCCTCATACCCAATGAGCAGCCCGGGAAGCCAGGCCTGAGAGTTTCAAAAGCAGCGGTTACAAACACTCATTCTTGTCCTACTTGTTCACAAGAGTACAAACACTGAGGCCCACGTAGGTACAGCAGCTGGGGCTCTCTACTCCCTGAGGCAGAGGTTTAGAGGAGTTGGACAAAGTGAGGAGTCAGAACCCACCCTGGGGACACAGGGACAGGTCAGTAACTGGCCTAAAATTCACCAATGACAGAGGGAAACCCTTTCATTCAGGAGATGCCAGAGGGCTTGGTAAAAGGTGTGATGCTCACACCACCAGGAGGCTTTGCTTTGCTCAGCCTCATCCTGGCTGCAGCCATCTCCCTAAGGCTGATGCTGTAATCCCATCCATCATCCCAACCTCTATTTGAGGTCATTAGCAATAATCTCAATTTATAGATGAGGAATTTGAGGCTCAAAGAGGAGAAATCACTTGCCCCAAACCACATAGGATTTGAACTGGAGTCTGACCCCAGGGGCCTTGACAAATCCCTCCTGCAGCCAGGAGGGGGTTCTTCCCTGCAGAAGACTTGGGAGAGAGGGACCCAATGGGAATATACAGAGCCCCTGGGAAGGCCTGGGGCCTTCGCGGATACCAGTCACCTCAGAGGTCCAGAGGAACCTATGGCCCTGGCTTCAGGTCGTCTGCCCAGGCAAAGAGGGGAGGCAGCTAAAAGCAGGAATCAGCTGCTCCCCAGCTCCTCTGGTGATCCCCTGGGCATGGCTCCTCAAACTTGTCTTCCCCTAGACAAAAGCTGAGCACAGAAAAAAACAGGCAGTGGGACCTAGCATTGAGGCCACGCCACAAATCACAATTTACTATGACTAATATGCTGGGCTGCAGGTTAGTGCTCACCAGCCACTCCTCGGAAACTCTATTCAGGGTGGCTATGAGTTGGAATCAACTCTATGGCAATTAACAAGAACAACACTCCTTCCCACCACTGTGTGCTTTTGTTTCTAACACCCTGTGCAATTGCTCTTCTTCAGAGGGCTGCTCCTGCACCGGTAGACAGCAGGGGTGATGGGATGTGAACAGCTCCTTCCTCTCTAGGCTGGTCCCTAGACTGACAGGTGAATGAATGCCCAGCGCCACGCGCCACGCCCACCCCCTCGCGGCCCTTGCCTAGAGCAGAGGCCATTCTGAGTCATAACTTCCACTCCGTCCCGTCCAGTCAGCCTGAAGCTCCCTCTACTGGACCGTGCCTGAAAACTGCACCCTTGCTGGGCTCATCCCCTCCTCTCCCCCGCTCCACACCTCCCAGGGTCCGCTGATCTCAGTAAGCTTCTGGGGCCACTCCTGTTAAACTATTCTGCACATTATGTCCCATCACACACCTTTGCAAGCATTATCTATAAATACTTGAGTTTTGTCCTCAAACCTTCAAGCACGGTGCTACAAAGATGCATATGTTACTCCAGGCTCCCCTGAATACATCCCACTGTGTACCCCAAACTGAACTGTGGGGTGTGACACTTTTCATCTGCCCTACCCACCCACCTTAGCACACCGGACGTCCCAGCCCCCTCACACAAGCAACACCCCAAACACACACAGCACGCTGACCCTAACTAACCTTGTTCAGATTTCTTTATTGAAAAATTAAAGTCGTAAGCTCTGTATATAAATTACACTGATGCTGCTGGTCACCTGCAAGGCCTCTGGGACAGGGGGAGGGTTTCGGGGGAAGAAACGGCTCCGGGGTCCCAGGAGTGCGGGGAAGGAAATAAATAATAAACACCATGGGGGATAAGGAGCCAGGAATGGGGGTGTAAAAGGGGGTGCTCGATGCTTATTTGTGGCACTAAAGGTCCTGCAAGATGCTCCCTAAAGGACAGCTGAGTCCACAAATTCTCACTGTGTCAGGAACGGAATGGGTCCCGGGTAGCTAGATGCAGAGGCCCCCACCTCTACCCCCACACCTAACCAGAACAGGCCCTGGCAGGCCGCCACTGGACCAGCCTTTCTCCTTCCTTTCTCCCTTTCTAGCAGCCTACACATAGACTGAGTGCCTACTATCTACCCGACACGGCACAAGGTCCTGACCTGACCTCCTAGTTGCCTCGCCCAGCTCTTCTGCCCCAGTCTGGTCCAGAGGGCCATGGTGGAGTGGAGGGATGTCTTCCTGCTACCCTGGCCATGCAGCCCCAGCCCCCCGGAGGAGCCTGACAGTGCGGGGAGGGAGGAAGGAACAGGGCCTTGGGCCGGCAGCAGCGCAGCGGTGCTCAGGCCTCGGCCCCTAGAGCATCACGTTGAACTCGGTGACCAGAAAGTCAACGTAATCACTCTCCTTGGTCTTGAAGGCCTCAGCGATGACTCGGGCGGCCTCCCGATGTTCCTTGCCCCGAAGTGTCAGCCCGTTCACTTCCAGAATCACATGGCCCACCTTGAGCTGCCCACAGTTATGGGCTGAGCCACCTCGCTGCAGGGGTGAGACACAGAGCAGGGGACACATGGGTGGCTGGTGACAGGCCAGCCTGGTCTCTAGCAACCATGGAGTCAGCCCCAACACTGCCGACCAGGTTGCTATAACCTGAGGACCCACTGCCCTGATCAGGAAAACAGCTTTCACAAGAGCCTGGGCCCACCCTGGGGTGCTATGTTACCTCTGGGGGTGGCACAGTCCTGGGGAATCTTGAGCTAGATCCCAGGGTTGGCAGAGATGATCGAGCAGGGCCTGCTGGGATGTACCTGAATCGTGACGATCCTCGGCAGGGGCTGGCGGGTGTTGGCACCACCTTCGATTGCGATGCCCAGGGTGGCCGCACTCTTCTTCACGCGGACTAGGGTGGATGTAGGCTCCAGGAGCCCGGGCTGTGGGTGTGAGGAGGAGGCCATTGACTTAGGTCATCTTGGTGCACAGGCCTGACACAAGTCAACAGGGCTTGGATGCTAGTCCTATGAGGGGAACCTCATATGTGCAGACCCTGAGCCAGGCCTGGTGTCTTCAGCTCTGTGCTGTTGGTGTTCTGGGTGCCAGCGAGTCCATTTCTGACTCATAGCTACCGCATGAATACAATGGTCCCATGGGGGTTTGTAAGCTGTAATTTCTATGGGAGCCGATGCCAAGTCTTTTTGCCTCAAAGCTGCTGGTGGGTCAATCTGTGGGTTAGAGGCCAGGCGCTTCCTAGTTATACCACCAGGGCTCCTCTTCAGCTCTGTAATCCCTACAGTAAAATGGTGCACTGGGCTAAGCATTGGGCTGCTAACTGAAAGGTTGGTGGTTCAAACCCACCAGCTGCTATGAGGGAGAAAAATGAGGTGACCTACTTCTGTAAAGCTTTAGTCTGAAAAACCCTGTGAGATAGGTATACTCTGTCCTACAGGGTCATTCTGAGTCAGAAGACTCCAGAATCAACTCGATGACAGTGGGGCTGAAGGCTCAAGTGATAACAGGCTTGACTGAGCTGACCACTGGTAGTGGTACTCTACTCAAAGCCAGGCCTGCTTGTCTCCAAAGACTGTCTCAGTCACTACACCATGTGAGAACCCAAGAGATCTTAAAGATGATCAAGACCAACCTCTCAGTGCCTTCTCACCCTGGGTCAGTGACAAAGCTAGGACTTACACTGGGCCTTCTGATTCCTAATCCACTGTTGTTTTCAAGATCCCAAGCCCTCTATCACTGGAGGACTACTACTTCCTCTGCACCCCTTTGTGCTTGCTCACCGGCTTGGCAGCCCCCTCTGGGGTCCTCTCGTTCCGAAGCAGCTCCTTGCTGCTCCTGCTCTTGGTGGATGCGGTCTGTCTGGCTCGGCCTGGCACTCTGGCCTCTGCCTCACCGGCGTCCACACCACTGTCCTCGCTTAAGGTCTGCCCACTGTCAGACAGCTGAGAAAGTGTGGAGGCTGCTGGGGCAGGAGACAGAAAAACAATGGTTTATGCACCTGGGCCTAAATGGAGGCAGAAATGGAGCTGAAGGCTGGAAGGCTGGGGGGCACGGGGAGTCCCCAAGATGGCAAGAGGACTGCAGGGACCATGGAGCAGGGAGATTCCTCACCACCCTCTCACCGAAGTGAAGCCCCACCCATCTAACCAGGCCTGTCCCGAAGGCTGCCACTTGTAGGACATATGCCTTGACCACTCAGTCCTCAGTCACCCATGTAGTGATTGAAACCGATGTCAGATATCAAACCCAGCCCATAAGAGCTTATTTTTAGCTTACATGATGCTGTCAGATTTTAATGATGAACTGACACATTCAAATTAGATTTCACGTGCAAATTAAATTCTTAAACTTATCAAGAAAAAAAGAGTAAAATCTGCCATCCCTGGCCAGTAACCACGTACGAATCCCTGAGCAGAGGGTCGGGCACAGCTGTCTACTTCACCTTGTATGTAACCACCTGGCCCCTGAGAATGAAAGCAAGCACTGGAAGTTTGGCAAATCCACTGACCAGCTGTGCAGCCCAGGGCAAGTTAAATGGCTTCTCTGTTTTCATTTTAATACAGGAGCAATGATGCCTACCCAAGGGGATTATCCTAAAGGATAACAGGTAAACTTAGAGTGAACCAGTCAAGATCACAGATTTGAGCTGGACTGCCTGGCTCCATAATTTACTCCCTGTTTCTCAGTTTCTTCATCTGTAAAATGGTGATGATAATCCTGCCAGTTTCACAGGGCTCTTCAGTGGCTTCTAAAAGCAAGGTGAGTGTTATTGTTATTGTGTGCCATAGAGTCGGTTCCAACTCATAGCGACCCTATATAGGGTTTCTGAGGAATGGTTGGTGTGTTCGAACTGCCAGCCTGTGGTTAGCAGACCAGTGCCCATACTACAGCACCACACCAGGACTCCAAAGGGAGTATTGTTGTTAAGTGCCACTGAGTCTGTTCCGACTCATAGTGACCCTGTATAGGGTTTCTGAGGAGTGACTGGTGAGTTTGAACCACTGAGCTTGCAGTCCGGTGCTTTTCCTACAGCACTACACCAGGACTCTGTTATTCGTACTAGCTCACGCGGCTGTTGTTAAGGACCCTAGAATTGCGCCTGGCACATAGTGGTGCTGTGTAACTATTAGCTCTAGGTATCACGTGTGTGTCCAGCTCCAAGTCAGTCCAGAGACGGGCACTGATGAGTAATGATACTCTGGCTTCTCTTACCACATGCTGCCTCCTCTCACCAAGCTACTAAGCACAGGGTCCCTGCATTCTGGTCTTGGCACACAGCAGGCACTCAGCTAACATCTGCTGACCTCATGGGCCACCTTCCCTGACTGCCGGAGGCTCCCATATTGTATTAGCCACGAGATGGCAGCAGAACCCAACAAGATGCACCACACCAGCTCCAGAGCTGACTGGGAGTAGAAAGTCAGCTGTGCCCCATCCCCACAGGAAAATCTGGGGGGCATTCTTTGGCTGACCTGACATCCGGATACCAGGCAAGGGAGCAGGGACTGCAGTTTCAGTACCCACTGTTTCCCTCCACCTGTGCGGCACCAGGCCCTACAGGATGAAAAAAGAGGCCAACCCCTGTTGGGGTGACTACAGAGCTGGAGAAGGGGCCCCCAACCCTGCCAGTGCAGGGCTGCTGCAGAAATCTCCTTTATCAGGGGGAATGCCAAGTTTAGTGAGGAGAGCAGCTTGTCCGAGTCACACAGCTGGTGAGCTGCATGCAGGATCACGTTCAAACTTGTGTGTCTGTCTCCCAGGTCACCTTAACAGGAGTCTAAGGGCCCTGTTGCCCTGGCCCCTCCAACTCTGAGCCAGAAGGCCCCTCAGGGAGCACCCGGCCCCACCCATCACCATGCAGAATAGCAGACTGCCCAAAAGACCACAGCCTGAGCCCCTGTCCACTGCTGGGCACTCACCGCGTGTCTGGGGTAGCGCCCTCACTTCATTCACGTCCGGCTCACTGTCTGGACGGTGCACCTCCACCATGACAAAGTGCTGGTTCATGCCTGTCTGGTCTGTGTGGCCAGAGGGCGAGGGTGGAGGAAGGCAGCCCCCAGCCACCGTGGTCTCTGCAGGATGACTCTTCAGGTGCGGAGGTGACTGGACCCGTGGGAAGGGACCGATGGGATGCTGGTTGACCAAGGCCAGATGGGTGTCCAGTGGTCTCTTGGCGCCCGGGTTGGCAGGGGAGACAGAGGCATAGATGGGGGAGGAGGGTGAGTCCTGGGCTGAGGAAGCTCCAGGCGAGGGCGCAGTGCCCACTGGGGGGCTACGGTTCCTCGGGTGGGATGACTCAGAGGAAGGGGGCTGGAGGTCCTCTCTCCCTGGCTTCTTTGGCTGGGTGAGCAAGCAGTTGTGGCTTTGGGCCGGAGGAGGCGACATAGGAAGGGGCTTGACGCTCTGCAGCCCCTTAGAGATGGGTTTGACATCATCCTGCCAGAAGACCCAACAAGAGTAAAATGAGTCCGAGCCCATTGCAGCTGGAAAAGGGGAGGCCAGAGTGGCCGAGTGGAGCCAGGACTGGCTGGAATTCTGTCCCTGCGCTATCCACACCACACTGAATAATGCAACGCCCAAGTGGAAAACTGCTCCCCAGGATCTTAGCTGCTGATAAGTGCTGGGATCTTGGCATGTGTCCTGGGGACAGCATTGCTCCCTTTGGGAATTGAAATTGTTGGCACCAGTCAGGGCTTGTCACAGGGAACAAGACTTAATTAGAGACAGGGTGAAGAGGATGGGGAAACGACAGTTCCCTTCTGCTTTTGGTGCAAGTACACACAGCCAAAGAGATACCATTTCTACATGTGTCCCATTCAGTGAGAATGATTACATTCTTTATTCTTGCTTTCCTTTTCCAAATGACTCTGCCGCCAGTAACTGCCACTCCTCCCCGCTAAGCCTCCCACCCAGCCTTTCTAGTTGCCACTGCCCACATGACCTCACTTAGATACAGCTTTTCTTTTGTGGGGATTGTTCTGGCTACTAGAGGCGGGAGACGGGCAGGAGGATGAAGGCACAGGGAGGACATGGGTGGGTTGCTGTGTGGTCCTGGGCAGGGTGCACTATCTCTCTGAGTGCACTTCTGGGCAATGGGACAATGAAGCCTGTCTAGCAGAGTGGTGTGAGAATGTGTGGGGCAATGTGTTGGCCAGTGCTGGCCCCCCAGCAGGTGCTGGGTAAGTGGTAACTGTAGATACTGCGATTACTATGTCCCCTCTGCCTATGCCAACATCCAACACTCACACAGCACTATGGACATCACAGGCGTGGTTCTAAATGCTCCACAGGGATCTCATTTTATAGACAGACTGGAGCACAGAGAGGTTAAGAAACTTGCCCAAAGTCACACAGTAAACAGTGTCAGAAGTCAAATCTGAAATGAAGCTGTCTCCCTCCAGGGTCTGTGCTGTTTGAGTCACAATCACAAAGTGCTGCTATCTGGGTGACTCTTTTGTGCATGTGAGTCTAAAGTCATAATTAACTTCCATCTCTGGCCTAATCAAATGTCTCTCCAGGAGTTCTCTCCAGCTGCCAGCACTCACTAAGGTAATGTTCAAACAACAAGTCAAAAGAATCGCCAACTCAGCAATCAGCCTGATGCCCTCATCAGGACCACCAGGAACAAGCGGTCAAGGTCCATCACAGCCCTGCTGAGAGCTCACAGCAAAGGTCTCTGTCCTGCCATGCACGCCCTGTGGCTCCCACCTGGCGGAACCTGCCCCAGAGTCCCAGGCAGACCTGAAAATGCAAACCACAAGCAGAGGGTGAGAGGAACTTACCAGGGAGACGTCTTGGAGCGTGTTGGCACTGTCCTGGACGGCCTCGCCAGTCTCCTCCAGGTCCAGAGTATTCTAGAAAGGGAGGAGAAAGCAAAGTGAATGACTATAAACCAAGGGGAGAAAGCCGGTGTGTTCTCCAAGACACCAAAGTCAACAGGGCCTATTGATATCTTCACATGGTTTACTCCGTTAGAAGTCACTACATGCATTCACAGTAGTGTCGATTCTTGACTTTCTGATCATATCTAGGACTCCCCTGGACTAGCTGGAAATGCCAGGGGCTGTCTCCAGCCTTGAGTGTGGATCCCTGGAGCTCAGCCCAGAGCACTGCATGCAATGCCTGCAAAGGCAAGAATTTTCTCTCCACCGCTAGCCAACAGAATCCAGGCAAGGTGTGAAAATGACAAGATGGAAATGGGAAACGGATAAGAACAAGTCTCACTTTCTTTTTCATTTTAGTGGTTTTAACCCTGAGTGGGCGATTCAAGGTTTAAATGAACATTATTTTGCAAAACTGTTCATGTCTTCCTTCCTTCGCAAGTCACTGGAATTTCTTAATGTGCCCTGACATGACAGTGAGCTTCCTAAAGGCAACTCTAGGAAGACAGATTGTACAGTGACAATATTTGCTACCAGTGTAGAGGAGGGGAAGACTTTCTGCGGCACAGAAGCATCTCAGTGGCCTTGCAGTTCTCAAATAATGAAAGGGAGAACTAAAAAAAAGATAATAAAAGAGAATATATAAATATATGCACCTGCATGTGTGTTCGGTGCATATATGTGTGTATAATATATACATATATATATATATATTTGTTTATATATATATATATATATATAGAGAGAGAGAGAGAGAGAGAGAGAGAGAGAGAGAGAGAGAGAGAGTGTCCTGGTGTGGTGCTGTAGGGACTGCTAACCTCACGGTTGGTGGTTCAAACCCACCAATCACTCCTCAGAAACGTCAGAACAACGTCTGTAGATAGATAGATATAGTCAGTTTCCCTAAGTGGTGCAAATTGTTAATTAAGTGCTTGACCGGTGGTGGTGGTTATGTGCTGTGGAGTCGGTTCTGACTCATAGTGACCCTGTACAGGGTTTCTGAGGCTGTAAATCTTTTTGGAAGCCGAAAGCCTCATCTTTCTTCCAAGGTACAGCTGATAGTTTCTAACTGCAGACCTTGAGGTTAGCAGCCCGACTCATAACCACTACGCTACCAGAGCTCCTTAAGCACTTGTCTGCTAACTATAAAGTTGGTGGTTCAAGCCCATCCAGAGAAGCCTCAGAAGAAAGTCCAGGCAATCTTCTTCCAATATACCAGCCAGTGAACACCCTATGGAAAACAGTTCTACTCTGATGCATGTGGGGTCACAATGGGTCAAAATAACCTCAAAAGTAATGGCAACCCAGTGGCCAGGCACAGCTGCTTTAGAAGTTAGACTGACTTGAAGGCCCAGGGCAGCCACTTTTCTCCACCCCTCAGAGCCCAGCAGAGCAACAAGCATCTGCCACCAACACCTGGCTCTGGTCCCCAGTCCAGCGGTCAATACCGAGCAAGCTCTGAAGCTCCAGAATGACAAGAGATGGAAGATACAGGCCTGGTGAAACAGCAACCCTGCATCCAGGAAGCCTGAGGACTCATTGGGTGGCCACTGAGTAAACAAGCAGTGAAGGAGGCTGAGGGCAGAGAGGGCACCAAGTGGGAAAACAGGATGTCAAACAGGGCAAGAAAGTGGATGGGTGTTTGATTCCGAGGGAAGGGCAGGTATAAAGCAGGATGTTCAAGAGTCTTCAGGCAGCTGGGGGAGAGCAGAACCAGAGCAGATTAGATTTGAGCCTGAGGGCAGATGGTTGCCACGGAGATGTGGTCACATTTGTCTTCTTTGAAGATCCCCTTTGCTCATTCACTCCCTCTCCAGCTAAGCCAGGACCATCACCTGCTCTTCTCTCTGCCTGGAACATTCTTCCCTTCTGCTACCCACAAGGAAGGCAGGTTGCATTCCCCAGCCTCCTTCAAGACTTCACTCAAACATCCCCTTCTCAGTGAGGTCTACCTTAAGCACCCCACCTGAAATGGCAACCCTCCCCTTTCTTTTTCCCTCTAGTGCTGATCACTGCTCCCAGGATCCAGGATGGAATCCTTGAAACATGAGTCAGATGTCTCTCCCCAGCTCATGAGCCTTGTCTTTCCATCTTACTGGGAAGAAATTCTACACTCACTCATCATGCCTACTTCATCTGGTCTGCCCTTGCTACCTCTCCAACAGGACTGCTCATTCCTGCCTCAGGGCCTTTGCACTTGCTTGTCTCTGCCTGCACCCCGTTTGAGACTCACACTCACTTCCTCTCTTCAGTTAGTTCTGACTCAAGCAGCATCTCCACAGACTTTCCCTGAGCAGCCCTGTCTATACAGCACTCCCATCACCTCTCTATCCCCTACCCTGCTTTGTTTTCCTGTAGTGCTTTATCATCTGACATTAGATGATATATTTGCTTATTATCCATCCCTCCCACTAGAATGTAAAGTTTACAAAGGTGGAGCATGTGGCCACCTGGTCCCCACTCCATCTTCAGCACTCGGAGCAGTAGCTGCTTGATAAATACTAAGTAAATTAATGAATTCATGAAGGAATCAGTGGATGAATCAGTTAGGTTCCAGAAAGCAGGGAGATGGGCAAGGTGGCTACTGTATTCACCATGGGCAGAAACAGTGTGGCTTGAATGAGGGTCATAGCAGCAGCAGGGGTGGAAAGTGTCATTGCTCCATACCCTCTAAGGCAGAGACTGTGGGATCCACGTCTGGAATGATCTCCCTGAAGCCTTGAGCATTCTGGGATGCACAAAGGCCAGTCAGGGCAATTTACCAACTGACAATATGGCCAGCCCTCCTGGTTTGCTGGAAGAGTCATTCCCACCCAGAGCTCCTCATTTAGTTCCCATGAAGTTGTTGGGGTTGTGGGGCTGCAGTAACTGCTCCATTCTGCCAAGGAGGCTGAGCTTGCACGCCTGGTCTCCTGGCTTTGAGAAGGACGCTGCTGAGAGCCTCTGGGGGACCCTGGGAAGTGGGCAGTGATGGGCCACTCTGGCTTTGCCACCAAGGCACTTTTGGAATCACACCCAGCTTTGCCACTTACAGCTGATCATGCCACCGATCTGTAAAATGGGAATAATGGCAATACTTGTCAAGGAGCCCAAGGTGGGGCTGGTGACATGCAAGTACCTCCTAACATTGGATGGCCATGGCCTCAGCTTCCACAGGAGGCACAGGGAGGACTCAGAGACCTTGTAGGTATGGCCACTGCCACCTCCTGACCTCCTTACAGGTGACCCTGGGGAATGGGGTAAGGCTGAGGCAACAGACTACAGCAGGACCAAAGGCATGGGATTCTGCATTCAGAGCTTTTGTCATTCGTTCAGTGACTTAACAAGTATTTCTCAGGAAGCCAGGAATTTGGAGGGAAAGTAGGGGTCACAATGTCCCCAACGTGTGCAGCAGCTGCTCATAAACTCTTGTTCAGAGTCACTGGCTGACAGCGCTGACTGTAGTATAGGGTCCCATGGTGGTCGGGCAGGAGACAGGGCAGGCCTGACAACACAAGCATGTCTGCTGACAGGTACTACTGACCAGAGGGTGTGGCTTTCTCCTGGAAAGAAGGAAATCAGAGAGCTACATGTGACAGCAGACCTACTGTGTGCCAGGCCCCATGCTGAGTTCAGTGCTTACAGGACCTCATTCCATTTTCCCAGAAACCCTGGCATTAGGATTCTCTCCTCTCACATATTGCATATCCAGAGCTCAGAGAGGGAAGGAACTTGTCCAACGCCACACAGCCATCTGATAGTTATAAGTTCTAGCCTACGTCTGGGTCACTCCAAGGCCTGTGCTGCATGAGCTTGACTCTAGAACTGGACAGGGCTCTGACACTGTAGGAACTACAGGGCTACACCAGGGACCGTCTCTGAAAGGAGACAGAAGGCAGTCATCTGTCCCTGGCCTCAGCCTCATTCTCTGCATTAAAGACACCCTGGAGACAGAAGACTGGGAGGAGGGAGGCCTGAAGTGGAGCAAGTGGCAGACTGGTCGGAACTCGTCTCCATCTGCTGAATCCAGACGCTCAGAAGCTCCAAGTCCCGGAGCCATGCTCCGTGTGTCTCTGAAATAGCTGCAGACAGCAGGCTAAGAACCTGGGGGATGCGTCAGCAGAAACACTCTTAAAAAGACCTGGAGAGGAGGATCAAGGTCAGAGCTCCTATAGGAGCCAGGAGTGTGTGTGTGTGTGTGTGTGTGTGTGTGTGTGTGTGTGTGTGTGTGGCCACTTCCACTCCCTAGCTGCCTGGGGCCACCAGAGTCCAGCAGGGGGCTTAGGCTCCCTGGCTTCATTCAGCCTGCTATTACCCACTCCAGAGTTGAACTCACTGAGGCTCAGAGAGAGAAGGTCACCTGCCCAAGGTCACACAGCAACACTGGAGCAGGAAGCTGAACCCCATTCAAAGTTGGAATCCATCCATACTCTAGGCCAAAGACCTGCTTCTCATAAGCCAGCCAACCTCTGAGACCTGCTATTGTTTCTCATCTCCTTCCTTAAGTTTGTGGCAATTCAGAAATTTCCCTTTTTGTAACAGAAAAGAACACTTTTTGTCCAAGTTGGCCCAGGCAGGGGACAAGAAACATATTGATAGAAACAAACTGAGGCAGGGTATCATCACCTCTGCTCTCTGCAGGGTGGACTCCTAGTTCTAGAAGGAGGGCAGCTCAGGCCTCACCCCTGCCACCTCTGCAGAGTGAGGGCCTCCCTTTTTCCAGCCCCCTCCCTTCCCTCTTCCTGCCCAGTTTCTAGATTTCTAGGCTTCTTCCCCTCCTTACATAAAGGTGCTATTTTCAGCTCTTTGTTCCTCCTGCTTCTTTACACTGCTGTGAAGCCAACAGGCTCCACCACCCTGCACCAGAGGTCCAAGGCCGGTGGCCCGTTCCCCATTCTGAGTATGGGGAAAGAGACACTGGTCATCTTCTGAAAGGTCATAAATGCAGGACCAAGTGTCTGCACAAAGGGCTGCTGACAAGAGGGAGAGATGAG